AGTTATAGTTAATAGGTTCTCTAAATGGTTACTCCTATTCCCTGTCTTAACAATAATAACTGTGGTAGAACTAGCCAAATTATTCCATCAAGAAGTTGAATTAAAATTTAGACCACCTAACAGCATCATTTCAGACCAAGGACCAGTCTTTACTAGTAAATTCTGGGCGAAATTATACTACATTATAAAGATTAAATAAAGACTATTGACTGCGTTTCATGCCCAAACCAATAGCTAAATAGAATGGATGAACTAAGTCCTTAAAAGATATCTCTGTTATTTTATTAATGAAGAACAAAACAATTGGGCAACTCTGCTAAGGGAAGCTAAGTTTACTATAAATAGAGCAATCAACACATTGCTAAATAAATCCCCATTTAAAATCTTACTAGGCTACAATCCAGACTTTTATATACATGCCAAGGACGGCACTACAGGGGGAGAAATTCCAGCTATGACAGTATAAGTACAAAAACTTTCAGATCTTTAAGAAAGATTAAAGGAATAATAGCATAAAGCCAGTAAAACACAAGCAAAGCACTACAATAACCATCATAAGGAGTTAACATTAGAAAAAGGACAACTAGTAGGGCTGTTAATAAAGAATCTTAAGTTAAAGGTTCTAAGCAAGAAGCTAGCTCCTACTTTTATTAGACCTTTTTATATGCTAGGCACTGTTGGTTCACAAGCATATCATCTTGCTTTGCCTACAAAATATGATCAAATTCATAATATCTTTTATATGTCATACTTGGAACCATGGAATTGGGCAAAGCATGATCAATTACTACTAATGCCAGAGCTTGAAGATGATAACAAATAGGAAGTTGAAGAGGTCAAGGACAACCACATCATCAGAAATGAACAGTACTATTTGGTTAAATGGAAGGACTAGCCCTCAGAATATAACCAGTGGGTCCATACTAATGATATGACTAATGCACAAGAAGCAATACAGAAATACAAGAAAAGAATTGCTACTATCAACCAACGCAAAGGCGCTGGGAAGGCTTAGCTAAGGCTAAGTACAACAGACGAATGCAGAACACAACACCGACTTAAATATCCTCAAGTACCAAAGGAAAAGACTGATTGATGTCAGCCAAGCAAGTCTGGCCAGCAACCACCATTTCATCACCATAGAAATAGATGCTAATCACCTTAATCTCCTCCATAAAGAAGAGAAGAGAGGCAGCCCAAGCCACATACCCAGTATCACCAGGCATAAGTCAAAGAGCTTTGGCCGAACGATATGCAGCCCAATCATCAGCGGTAGCCCCAGTGTTCGGATACTGAACATGAGCCATTTCGGTGCGACGACCTTCAATACAGTGATGAATCGACCCAAAAACTTACACGCCATTCCTTTTTCTTTCCTGTGATGCCATGCAACTGACGGTGGTTCTGCTCTATATTTTCAAAAGCATTAACAAGCCCAAGAAGGGCGACCGAAAAGTCCTCAAAAAGGCTCAGATCCCAGGCATACTGGGGATCAAAGAACCCAGTATACCATTCAATAACAGCAGACAGGTCAAGGGCGTTCCCAGCCATACTAGGCACAGCCTAAGAAACAGCTGTTAACACCAAAACAACACATAGGACTGACGCAACATACAGGTTCGCAGAGCAAATGACGGGCATTGCACTGAATACACTTCGTAGAAGTGCTGTCCGAAAGCTTGCAATCAACTTCGAAAGGAAGACCCCCTTGGGGGTTGAAGTTCTTCAATGCAGTGCGAAGGCAACACATACACCAATACTTTTTGCAAGTAATAGTATTGGCCATGACGAAAATCAACAGCAAGAAACACAAAGAGGAAGCGAAACGCAACAGAAACAAATAAGAAATCATGAGGCTTAAAAGAACTCAAGTCTTGAGTATCAACAAATGAAAAGGAACCGCAACACTAAAGAAAACACTGCAACATAAAAGAGAAGCATTGATATGCAAAGGTGAAAGAAGAGAAAACATAAACAAAGATATAATCAAGACAAATATACTATGGTCATCGCCCATAACAACATCGTTTACTACCACACCACAGTACACAACAACAAAGAACACAACAAATTTCAAAACACACAAAGCCAACATAACAGAAGCGTTACATCTGCCCTACAATCAGTTATCTCTGTTGATAACATTACATTGCGTCAACTATCGTGATATTATTTACTTCTTTGGGAAAATTTGAAGTTATACAACTCCAACTGAGGACAGTCATTATAACCAGAGGGGGTATAATTGTAAAGGCTCAGCTATAGCCCAGCCACTCAATTATGCAGCCACCCCTTGCTTCCTAATTATTTTCAACCTCCTGCTTTCACACCTTGAGCCGCTTTCGAATCATCACTGAATGCATCTAGGATAGACAGCGAAGATAAATAGTATGCCCCTTATCTAGTATTCGAGAAGACAAGGATTAGTTTTGTTTCATATAATCTACTACTCTCTACCATCCTCTTCCATTGATTATCGTCACCAATTCTTACCTAGTCAACAGGCCATCTACCCTGAGACGTAGATCCTTACAAATAATATCTAATCACCTTCCCAGAAAGCCTAGTAACATGCTACTAATTAGTAGGGTTAGCTCTTTATATTATGGTAAAGATAGCTCTTTATTCTTAGCTAGTAGCTATTATTAATAAGTGACATGAGAAGCAACATAGCATGTGATGTTGTTGACATACAACAGTTAATATCTAAATTAATAGCTTCTAGCTAGTCTATACCTAGGATAAGATTACACTTAATTATATTAACTATCTCTATAGCTAGTTAGTAGACCTAGATATTTCTTATATAGTTAGTAATTTCAACTTCTAGGTTTCTCTAGCTATATAAAGTAATATTATAGCTATTAATAGCCTTTACTAGCTAAGGCAGATATTCTATATTAGATAGGAATTCTTTTATCTATTATTAGTTAATAAAGGTTTATTCCACTCTACTATTAATTAATATATAGTATTAGCAGTAGCTTCCTTTAATAAGAATATAGGTAAGAAAGGCTGGTACCTTACTATTATTAGATTTTTCTCTAATATCTAATACTATAGCAGTATATAGCATAGGGTAACTTAGTTTTTTAAGTGCTTAAGAATCTATAGTTTGATATAGTATTTTAGCTAATAGCCTATTTTCCCTATACTTATTATAATATATACTAGAATAGTCTCTATAAGAGGAATAGGAATATTTCCACTTCCTAGATTCTAATTAGTAGTTATTATTAAAATTCCTACTATTTCTAGGCTAGTAGTTATTTATTTAGCCTTATTAGTTATTATATAGTCTAGAATTCTACTAATTATTAGTTCTAGGTAGGATACTAGTATATTATTTCTATAAGATATTTTTTTATACTAAGATTCCATCTTTAATAGTAGCTAAATAAGAGATATATACTTTTAATAGTTTTAATAGGTTAGTAAATTACTAGTAGTAGCTTTGCTTTAAATAATTAATAAAATATAGGTATAGAGGAAATCTTTATAGATGTAGTTAGGTAGTAGTTTTATAAGCTAACTATAAATATTATTAATAAATATAGAGAATTCCTATATACTCTAGTATTCTAACTATATAGTAGAGAAATATCAGATAGCTACTTCCTTATAGAGACTCTCTAGTATAGATATTAGGTATAGGTAGAAGTCTTAGAAATCTAATTATCTTAGGGCTTTAGTAAGCTTAGCCTTATAAGTCTATTATTTATTATAGTATATATCTATAAGTTAGGTAGAAGCTGTATAAATATAGTTTTCTTTATTTTTAAATTAATCTTAGTACTTTTTAAAGTTAGCCTCTAGGTAATTAAAGAAGGTAATATATTCCTATATAAAATATATAGTAAATTATTTAATATTTACTAACATCTTTAATCTTTCTAATCTAGTAATCTTTATCTTAATTTCTATAATTAGCTTAGTATTAGCTTAGAATTCTATACTTCGTATCTAATTAGGTTATTAACTTCCTAGTTAATAGTAGATATAGATTCTCTATTAGAGATTTTATTTTAGATTTTCTATAGTTAAGCCTAGAGTCTATCTCCTAGATATACTTTTAGATTTCTATCTTTTAGAGTTTCTACTTAAGGTGCTATTCCTTCTATAGTAATTTATAGATTATCTTATTATTTTTATTAGGAATAGTATCTATTACTTATTTCTCTTTTTCTATTATTTAGGAGTTATATTCTAAGAGTATAGTTAATTATTCTATTCTTTTAGGGGTATATTAGTTATTAGTACTTTATAGATAGATATTATCCTAACTATTATCTAGTTAATTAGTTATTTTTTCAATAGAATTAGATAATTCCTTCTAAATTAGGATTATTTAAGCTGCTTTTTCTATAGCTAGGATTAACTTATTATACTAGGTTAAGGTTCTAGAGGAAGATCTTATACTAACTGTTATTTTTATAGTATCCTAATAGGCTAATTAGGTTTTAAAGAGTAATTAGAACTATAAGATTAGTGTAAAGGGAGTAAATAACTATATATTATCTAAGGAAGGAGAACTAATTACTAAGTTATAGAATACTTAACAACTTATAGGATAATTACAGTATGCATCACATGATCTAGTGTATATTGTGGTCTTCCAGTCCACTATAGCCCTTAACATACTCTCTCTCTCTCTAGATAGCTTCTTAGAATATTGCTTGTATGGTAGCTAGTTACCTTAATAAGTTGGATATCTATCATCTCCAGTTGTATATCTCAACACCACAGAGACTATACTAAGAAGTAATAACTGTCTTTATTACCTCACTGGCACTTAAGTGGTTCCATCAGATATAGTGCAGCATATTAAAGTGTCATTATCCCAGTACGCATATTTCAGTAAACAATAATTAATATCCACATGGCATCATGCGCACATCAATGGACAAGTTTCAAATACACATTGGATTAAACATGTGTCAGCTAGTGGTGTAGTTCAGATTGAGTAAATCAGCTAGCCTGGTCTCAACAGATAGCTCAGGCTACAGATATTTTCCTTTGGTAAATTTCGAAGCAAAGTTGACAGTTTCACCCACTTGTTTCTGATGTTGTAGAGTAGACAGCTTTGGCGCCGAGGCCATATCCGTTGTCCACCGGAAAGGACGACAACTTGGGTCATCATTGGAAGAGGACATCAATGAATTTGTAGAGGATGGTAGCAATCTTTCAGACGCTTCTGATGAATTCTGGAAAGGCGTCAGAATAGGCTCTTTTAGTACAGACTTCAATGGCCGATCCGCTGAGACTTACATGCTGCCTCGGGGGGCTTTTCGACGCCATTGAAGTACTTGATCTATCATGACTGAGCACAGGTTGAGACGAAACCCCCATGGCCTCATCTTGCAAGCGCTTCAGCTTTTGCTGCGGAGTTTCTGTCCAAGCTATATCCACTTCTTCCCCTGAATAACTGAGCGATTGTCCCCCTTGAAACTTCCTATTTTTCAATCTAGTCGGATCAAGCCTCGAGCTCAACTCCGAGGGTCTTGGAGGTCGCAACATCCAAATATCACGCTGAGAATTGTTGTTGTGGGCATCTGGCTTTCCTGACTGTATATGTGACCCGTTGTCCATCTTGACCTCATTGGGTTTTGCAGTAACATCACCACGTAAAGGGGGAAGGCTGGGACCATAATCGTCATCAGCCTCTTCGTCTTCGTCTTCGTCTTCCTGGCTGAGACCATCAGTTCTGGTACTCTCAGCACCCTGTTCAGTTTCGGCGTCCTCAGGACCATATGATGATGGCAGCACTGGTCCAAAAACCTTCCGCCGTTTCAGCGCAGGGCTGGTCTCATTACCACTGCCAGGATCATCGGATTTCCGCTTTGTATTATAATCCATTGAACTGCTCATGTTTTCCATTCCTGGTGTTACAGGTGTTGAGGATTATTAGTCATATTTGCAGGTTGAATCACAAGATTACACAAGCCTCACGTGTTTTAAAATCGTTATGTTAGATCTGATACCTGATACATACCATTTGTATCAACACCATCCTCTAAAGCTCCTCCTTATTAGCACCCCCCTCCTTATAGACACCCGCTCTTATAAAAAAGCAGTATATAACCTACTACTGACCTCCTTAAGCCTAAATTTTTAGGGTCTTAGTACAGAGACCCACCTTCTCTTATAACAGTGGCGCGACATAAGTTTGAATACAGGGTATTTACCACTGGCCTGATTAGGAATCTGGATAGATTCTCAATCAGTAGTTATAATAGTCCTAAGAGGGATACCAGGGATGTTTTCTATAAATCCTGGAATAATTATAGTTAATACTATGGAGCCCACAGATGCATAACTACATCTATAGTGATTTATTATTTGCAAGACACCATGGTGTTAATTAATTTAGTAAGGTATCTAAAGATAAATGATTAAATCTGGAGCAGTATAGTAGGGAAGAATCCCTAATCAGGCTAGTGGTAAATAGCCTGGACTCAAACTGATGATGCGCCACTGTAGTACCAGGGCATCTGCTGAAAATAGTAAGGTCTAGATATCATATAACTACTACTGTAACCCTTTATAATCCTATCTTTCTGATTTATTTATAAAATTAAGAGATAGAAAGACTATAAGGTAGGCTTAGAAAGTATTAGTTTCTTATTTAAGAAAAATTATTTATAGAGCTAATTAGAATATATTACTCAAAACTTAATTACATTTATTATATTTACTAGAATAGCTCTATTTTATTTAATACTATACCTATAGCTACTATACTGATTCCCTTACTATATTACCCCACTCCTACTAATTATCTGTAATATTCTTAGTTTGCTAATAAGTAGATACAGCTACAGTCTACTATAAAAATAATGGTTAGTACTAGATCTTCTTCTAGAGTACTAATTCAGTATAATAAGTTAACCCTAGCTATAGAGAGAGTAGTTTAAATAATCCTAATTAAGGAAGAATTAACTAATTTTAGAAAAAGAAAATAACTAATTAACTAGATAATAATTAAGATATTATCTATCTATTAAATATAAATAACTAGCATGCTCTTAGAATCTAAGTTTTAAATAATAAAAAAGAGAAATAAAAAAAATACTATCCTTAATAAAGAAATTAAGATAATCTATAAGTTACTGAAGAAGGAATAATACCTTAAGTAAAAACTCTAAGAGATAAAAATCTAGAAATATATCTAGGACATAGAAGCTTAACTATAGAAAACCTAGAATAAAATCTCTAATAAAGAATCTATATCTACTATCTACTCAGAAGTTAATAACCCAAGTAGATAAAATATAGAATACTAGACTATTACTAGAGCTAACTATAGGAATTAAGATAAAGATCACTAGGCTAGAAGGACTAAAAATTAATAAATATTAATATTAATAGTTTATAATATATTTTATATAAAAATATATTATTTTCTTTAATTACCTAGTGGCCTAGTTTAAAACTCAATTAAGTTTAAAAATAGAGACTTATATTTATATAGCCTCTGCCTAACTTTTAGATATATACTATATTAAATAGTAGATTTATAAGGCTAAACTTACTAAAGCCTTAATTAAGATAGATAGATTTCTAGGACTTCTACTTATATCTAATCTCTATACTAAAGAGACTCTATAAAGAAGTAGCTATCTAATATTTTACTATTACTTAGTTTTTAATATTAGAGTATATAGGAATTCTCTATATTTATTAATAATATTTATAACTACTAGTAAAACTATCTAACTATATCTATAAAGATTTCCTCTATATCTATATTTTTTAAATTATTTAAAGTAAATCTACTAGATTTACTAACCTATCAGAATTATTAAAGATATATATCTTCTATTTAGCTATTATTAAAGATAAAATCCTAGTATAATAAAATACTTTATAAAAATAATATAACTCTCTATTTATAATTTGTAAAATAATAAACTATATTATTAAAGATAATTAGTTTATTATAGTCTTCTATCTAGTAAGTGTATAGAACTAGATTTAAATTAATAATAAATTTCTAGATTAATATATTATTAGGAATTCTAGATTTAATATATTTAGTAGCTTCAACTAGGGGAGTAGTATAAGATTATATTATTGTGATATCAAGAATTACATCAGAGGTTCAGTATGATCTATGAAGCATATAATAATATTTAGTAATTACTATTATTATATATATAATTATTTAGATTATCACACTCCTTCATAGCTTAGGTAGAAGTATAAAGGGGACTAGAATTTTTTAATATTAATATGATATATATGGTGGCTATAGGCCCACCCCCTACCCTTATATAATTTAGAGGCTCTATCCCTATTATAATAAATTGTTAAATCGCTTATGGCTCTTGCCATTCATGGATTACTAGCAATTACTATAGCCAATTGAAAAAGAATGAAGGTCTGATTCTTCTAAATGAATGACTATCTAGCTCCTATTTATATCCTCAATAGGGGCCAGATTTGGGAGAATGCAAATATGAATTTTTAGCTAAGAATATCAGTGTGGAGGAAAACTCTGCTCCTTACTAATTAGGCAAGTAGTACTATAATTCAATACACCCCCCAGCTAAGCTGATAGGTAAAGCTGCAGAATTCATAGCTGTTAAAGCTATTCCCATCTTCTAAATCTAGTACTTATATTAAATTAATGGTGTGGATTAGGTTGAAGCTCAATATCTTCTATCTAATTAGTTGATGAGCCTAACCATTTTGCAAAAGTCAATATACTTATTCTTTAGTAATATCTTTGTTAGGCCATCTGCTGGCATCTAATTAGTTTTAATCTATTTAACTAAGATGTGGCCTGATTGGATCTCTTACTAAAGCTAGTACTAGTAGATATTAACATAGTATAGCTTTATATACATTATTAGTTCTTAGTTACACAGTAGCCCTACTATTTAATAATTATCATGCAGAATAGATATGTCATGCTCTAGATTAAATCTAATATCTAGGAATAGTTATTTCTACTAATAGATATTCTTTACTGCCTTAGATAGGGCAAGTAATTCTACTTTAGTAGTAGAAGTAGTAACTATTTATTACTTCCTAGTATACTAATTAACTGCAGCACTAAATAGCTTTACTAGGTATTCTTTACTACTACTATAATCTAACTAATCTGCATAGGTAGTATTACTTATAATAATAAAGATATTCCCTATTAAATTATCTCCTCTATATTCTAAAGCATAGTCCTTTATTAAAGTAAGATATATAATAATATAATTAGCTACATTAAAATAGGCTAGACTAGGATTTAATAGATATCTTACTAGATCTGATATTATCTTAGTAATATCTAAGTAAGTAATCACTGCAGCATAAAGGATTAATCTGATCTTAGATTAATAGTAGTATATATTATTAATAGTAGCCTTTTCATTATATAGATATAGATTATCTATTACAGGTGTCTGCACCTTCTAATTAGTTGAATCTAAATAATATCTTATAGTAATCTTATTAATATATGCCTATTAGCTAAGCTAAAGCTTCTGATTTATCTAATCTCTACTAATTTTAATATTTAGGAAGCTATCTCCCTCACGTAGATTACAGAATTTATATTATTCTTATGGTTTCTGAATCAGATTATCAGCATGCTCCTTGCTTTTAGGATAGTAAAGGAATAGTATATTATTAATAGATACTAAGATAACTATCTTATCATCTATATAAAGGTATGAGTCTGTATTAATTCTCTATAAACCTATCTTATTAAGGGCTTTTGAAATATCTCTCTACTAGAGGTGTGATGCCCTATATAGGCCATAGAGAGCTTATCTTAACTAGTAAATATAACCATATTTAGAGAATCCTTTAGCTATATAGGTATAGACTTCCTTATCTAGCTTACTATTAACAAATATGTTGACAGCATTAATTTGCTATATATTAAGATTAAATACTACTATAATAGCCATTAATATGCAGAATGTTTATGTAGCTAGGGTAGCAGTAGTAGTATTATTATATATTATACATTATATATCTCTACATATATAAATATATGCTTTTACCTTAATTAAGAAGCTTTCTTAATTAAATTTATATATAGAAACCTATTATAGTGGAATAATCTATTTATCTCTAGGTCTCTTAACCTTCTGAAAAGTTCCTTAAGCTAATAATATATTATATTCTAACTTTGTAGCTACTTTAAAGAGTTCCTTTAGTAGGTGCTTTTACATTTCTCTCCAGCCATTAGATTTAGTTAGTATTTTATTTTAATAAAGTTATTTCTTTAGCACCTTATCTTATAGTCCTATTCTAAATAATATAAATACTAAGTAGAATTGCTTTAGGCTATCTATCTAAGTACTAGTATAGGTATATTATTTAGCTTGATATTCCTGTTTTCGTTTAATAATGTTATCTACTAAAAAATTAGCACTTAACTATACTTTAGCTTCTTATGGATATTATTAATGTTATCTAGGCTAGCTAGATTAATACTTAATTAATTTATCTCCTCATATAGCTATTTTAAAGGTGAATCTTCTAGCTCTAGCCCTAAGTAATCTAGGGAGTTAGGCAGGGTATCTATAAGCCTTATAGGTATCTCCAGCTCTGGGGAATTATTAATTCTTATAGGTGATCTTAGGGTTATTAAATTAAGTTAAATAGGCTATTCTCTCTATAGGCTATTAATCCAGTCTCCTAGGATGCTATATTAAGTTATTCCTACCTACTCTAGTCTCTAGGCATGCTACTAAATCATCTTACTTAATTAATTTAATAGGTTTATTATATTAGATAGATCTTCCAGGTGTAGTAAGAGGGGTTAGAGGTGTAAGATTTATTTCTAGTAATTCTATATTTACTCTTAGTAATTCTGCTATCTAACTACCTACCTTTTTTAGTATAGTACCTTTACTTATTATATTACTTATTACATTCACCCCCTAAGCTTTAGCCTTATCTAACTTATCTTTATTACTTAATTCTTCCACCTTCCTGATCTGGAAGTTATCTATTACTATAATATTATTAATTTCAATTAGCAGCTCTAGAGTATCTAATATTTTAATTACTTCTGCATGGAATGGCTAA